TCCAGGGGTTTCCACCCCTTGGGGTCTACCACTTTTCAGCCTCTGGGGGAAAAAACCAAGGTCCAAACCACTACACAATGTAGTATGGAATAACATCTGGGCCTTAACCAGGACCCTCTCCCAACTTCTGTAAAAAATTAACCCTGACCTGGCAGAAACCAAGACAGGGGGAAAAAAACTGTTTATAGTAAAAATGGAGCAGTTAAGGTTAATATTTTTATTTGTACTATTTATACACTGGTCTAAAATATGTTTCTTCATTTTAAGGTAACTGAGCTGCACAATATCAAAAACATAACCAGACTGCCTCGGGAGACAAAGAAGCATGCAGTGGCAATTATCTTTCATGATGAGACATCAAAGACATTTGCGTGTGAGTCAGGTAAGCAATTGGTACTGCATCTCTAGCTTGAAGAAATCAAGTTACATGTCAAAGTCTGGCTCAGATGAATTAACTTACAATGCCAGATAGAAGTCCTTCGCTTAAAAGAATTCGTGGTAAACAAAAACTTGCAGTTTGAGATCTGGGTGTTTTAGGGTTTGGTAGGGTTGTTTTTATTATATGTTGAGAGGTGTTGGGGTGTTACAGAACTCTTTCTTCCATTATTTATCTTTGACTGCATGCAGATGGCCTAAAGACTAGAGATTTTCAATTAAACTTGTAAAACTGAGTGAAAAATAAGATGTTATTAAGTCAAGATGTGAAACATTCTTTTTTTTAAGAAGTTTTGCTATAGGCACTTACTAAACTCATAATTATCATGCCATTGCAAATAAGAGGTAAATACCAGCTAAAACCTCAGGATATTGTAAAGCAGGGTGTCAAGCAATCTGTGGTTTGAGCGACTACATAGCATAATGAATGAGTTGAGAACAAGACTTGGGCTTTATGGTACTACATAATGGCAGGTAGTTACTTGCAAGACACTGAACATTGCAGTATTAAAGTGCACTATTTTCTTGTTTGAAAGTACAATTGCAGACATCTGTGTCCTAGGGTATATTTTAATGGGAAAAAAAGTTTTTAAAAATAATGGGAAATTTTTTAATGGTAAACTTTTTATTTTTTTAGTGGCATATTTGAAAGGCATTTAAAAAGTTTATATATATAATACTATATATATTTTTAAAATATATACATATGTAAAATTAAATATAGGGTGAAGGGCCTAGAGGGGAAGCCATATGAGGAGCGACTGAGGTCACTTGGCTTGTTCAGTCTGGAGAAGAGGAGACTGAGGGAAGACCTCACTGCCATATTCAAAATCCTCATGAAGGGAAGAGAAGGGACAGGCAGTGATCTCTTCTGTCTGGCAACCAGTGACAGGACCTGAGGGAACAGCATGAAGCTGTGTCAGGGGAAGTTTACACTGGATATCAGGAAAAGTTTCTTCACCTAGAAGGTGGTTGGGCACTGGAACAGGCTCCCCAGGGAAGTGGTCACAGCACCAAGCCTGTCAGAGTTCAAGAAGCGTTTGGATAACCCTCTAAGGCAGATGGTGTGACTCTAGGGGATGGTCCTGTGCAGGGCCAGGAGCTGGACTTCAATGATTCTTGTGAGTCCCTTCCAACTCTGCATGTTCTATGATTCTATATTAATACTATCATAATAACATTGCATCGTGTACAGTCTAAATAATAAATTAAAGTGAAACAAAGTTTGAGAAATGTAGAGGAAGTTAAAAGTGTGTAAGGTCATTAATTATGTGAATTTTGGATCAAATTTTACGAATGTTGATATATATATCCCATCATGAAAGATGGATTGCAAAGGTGTGTTTTGAGTGGACAGAGGCTTGGGTGAAGTGGCAGACCACTGGAGAGCTTTTGGGCGGTGATCAAATTTCAGACCAAGACTGGTGATATAGTAGTAGGTGCCTGCTCTAGACCTTCTCATCAACAAGAGAAGACAGATGAAGTGTTCTTAAGAGAGGTGGAAAAAGCCTCAGTCCCAGACATTGGTATTCTTGAGTGACTTTAACCACAACAGTAACTACTGGAAGGCCAATAAGGCTGAACACAAGCAATCCAGATTTCTGGAACAGATTGAAGACAATTTGTTGATACACATGGTCAATAATATGATGAGGGGAGATGTTTGTTCAGGTGCTTGTCAGGACCCTTTGTCCTTGAGGGACAAAGAAGCCCTTAGCCTCTTCCATAGCCCAAAAATTAGTAGAACACAGAATGGATAAAGGCACTTAAAGTAGACAGAAAATAGGTTGGTTTTAAAAAGCCAAACTTGCAGCCAGTAGATGGTGGATCCCTCAGGGATCAGTGCTGGGACCAATACTATTCCATGTCTTCATTGACAACCTGGATGATGAGATGGAGATTACTCTCAGCAAGTTTGCAAGTTACGCCAGATTGAGGTGACCCAAATTGGGAAGGGAGGGCTGCTGTCAGAGGGACCTGGACAGGCTGGAGAAGTGGGCTGACAGAAACATTATGAATTTCAGCAAGAACAAATGAAATCTCTTGCCCTTGGGTTGTGGTAATTCCAACCACAAAGCACTTTTGGGGTCTACTGTCTAGAAAGCAGCTCTGCAGAAAAGCTCTGGGGTCCTGGTGGACAGCATAGCCTGAACAGCATTAGTGAAGGTGTTGACAGCAGGTACAGGGAAGTGATCTTTCACTTCTGTTCAGCAGTTGTAAGACCACAACTGGACTACTATGTCCAAGTTTTGTGCCCTTAGCACAAGAATACTGACATACAGGAGTGAGTCCAGTTAGGGCCACCAAGAGTCAGGGTCAGGAGTACCTGATGTATGAAAAGAGACTGAGAGCTGGGCCTATTCATCCTGAGAAGAAACAACTTCAGAGGATCTTACTGCTCCCTACAGCTCCCTGATGTGACAATACAGAGAAGATGAAGCTATAAAAGTGTCAGATACTTTGCTGTTTCTGAAAGACTACAAATCTTAGCTGTGGGCATGGTGGAGTTTCAATCAGTTTGCCTTTCTCCATGCCTTCAGTTTATCTAAACAGTATAAACTGCATCATAACTGTCAGATGAGAGAGATACAGTGTTTTGTTTCATTAATGTATGACTCTCTTGAACTCCAAGTCTTTTGTGTGTTCTGAACTAGGAGAATATGGTCTAAAACAAATTTCTTTGCCAAGTCACTTCCACAATGAATTCTGTCTTCTTAAAAGGAACTGTTACCATTTTCACTGATGCTGAAATGTGTCAAGTACTTCACTGTCTTTTATGAAACTTATCAAAGTTTAAGGAATATTTAGAGAACTGCTTATTATTTAAAACATTTTTTTTCTTCGCATGTTTAGTGCAGTGGTTCATATGGAAAAATGAGTAGACTTTTAACAGCCTCATGATTTATAGTGATGTACAGACAATGGGGTTTGTTTTGGCAAATCAGGCTGCTTCTTTGGTTAACACAATAATAGCTTCACTCTATTAATACCTCTTCTTTCACATGGCTTCAATGGGAAGGGAACATTCAAGTGGTTTTGACTCAAGTAAAAAATCTTCTAGAATCATGACTGGTTGACCTTGAATATTTTAGGACCCTGAAGTTTCATAATGTGAACATTTTTCCACCATGAAGTCTTTGAATGTACAGAAGCAGATACCTTGTTTCCTATTATCTTGACTTCCAGAGACAGATGGAACGACAGTGCCACTGAAACCTTGCAAAAAGTTTGCTGAGCATAGAGTCAATAATTCCTTGGAGATGAGGAGAAAGTATTACTCAAATCTGAGTTGATTTTATATGGGGACTGAACAATGTGACGTAGGGCTTTTGTCAGCATTGTACCAGGAGATGATTTAAAATAACAGTATCATTTTGGTTTTGATAGTATGAGCTGATGTCTTTCTCTCTGTGCAGTCTTAAAATCTGAGAAGCAGCACATTTTTCTGGCACATAGCTTTCTTAATTGTGGAATTAAGCACAATAAAATGCTATTCTGTTTTAAAATAGGTCTCTAAAGTTGCAGAACACTTTGGTTCTCCCCAGAAAGCCTGAGAGCTGCGATACCAGCCCACTGGGTGTGCTGGCTCGGAGCCTGTGTTTTTTTCCTGAGCTCCTGCAGCTTTTAGTCCCTCAGCTTGCTTATTGTCTTCAAGGCAGCTACTGGCAAGTCTGAGCCCTGGGTGGGCTGTAGTCTCTATATTTCCATTAGGATTTCAGCAAATTAGTCATCTGAGGTGCATCTAATTGTTGGTAATCTTCATTTGCTAAAGAAAACATTCTACAGAAAAACAAATAAAAATCCTCCATATGCTTTTGTTATCATCTAGCTGTTCCCATCCCTACCACCAGTGCTTCTGACATCTACAACAGCTGTAAAAATCTGTTCAATTCTGAATCCCTATTGAAATATTTTGAAGAACAAACAAGTCACCAATATTACAGTTCCCTGAATAAAAGCATGGGTCAACAAGTCTTTACAGAAGAATTATCCCCCTTCAGGAAGAATAGGAAGCTTCTTGCTGTCACTTAATCTATTTCTGGCATCTGCTCTAGCAGCAGAACCTTGTGACTTTGGTGATTAGCAAGCAACATTTTTAAATTCTCTGTTACCATGAGGATTGTTTCAGTGGAAATAAACTAATGAGAAGTCATGGCTGATTAACTAACATGAAAAATAGTCTATAACTCAGTGAACTTCAGACAGACTCTAAAGAGGGGGAATTCTTCTTTAGACCTTGAGAAATTACTGCTACCTTAGCAAGGAACATGTTACAGGTCTCAATTTCAGCCTCCCTGAAAATCATATGAAAGTTATTGACATTAAGGGAATTTTTACAAATTTATTTTTAACAAGAATCATGAAATTATGAGTTGCTTCAAAAATAGGGAAGTGCAAAACTTTCAGGTTGCTAACACATTGAATCTTGAGACAGAATTAAATGTTGCCAAACATATAAGCAGATTAAGGGGAGGGGCAGAATACCGTGAAGAAAATTGAAATAGTTTTGGGGAATTTAGCATACTTACTCCGACATAATAACAGTTTAAAGATGTTACTGTTGTCTTTTAGATACATAAAGGAGATAAAAAGTGGAAAGTTTTTAAGATATAAAGTGACCTTATCACAAGAACAAATGCAGAATATATGCCCAGTATCATTCTGTGTTGCTGTGGCCATTCAAATAGCAGAAATAACATAGACTGAAAATTCAGAGTAAAATTTCTAGGAGTTAAAAGAGTAGGATTCCACACAGCCTCAAACAAATCCTTCTTCTTTCCCACATGGTTTATTTTCTGCACTCTGCAGTGTATTATCAAGCAAATAGAGAAGTTCTTGTAGCTCTGGGTTCCAGCTACTGGGTTTGAGGTGCTGTCTTTCTCTGATAACTTTGTTAAAAAAAATTGTTGGGATGGGTTTTGTTTGGTTGTTGGGGTTTTTTTTTGG